CAGTTAAAAATTGCTTTAACATATCCATAATTGTCACTGCTCAGGTGAAATTTGATCACTTAAAAATGAGTGGAACATATAAATGTTTGCACGTGCATTTGGTTTTTAAAGGCACCGGTGCACTTCGATGCACCGGTGCACTGGTGCAGTACTTTTGAGACAATCCTTAGATGTTTCAACATTAACATGGCAACTTTGACAAAAATATGTCCATATTGAAATGTTTTCCCAGTTTGCTATAGATGGCTAACCTGCACAGCCCATCCATCACATTTTGGAGTGGGAACTGTAACTGTAGCCACATTTCAATATTTGCTGGAAAAGCCTGAATACAAATAAGTGGAGCTTTAACGGTTAACGGTACCATTAGTGTGTCCACATACTATTGGCCATGTAGCATATGTCTATTCAGTGCTGTTACCATTTCTGTGGCATGACCTGAATTTGGCCAGAGTTCATATGTAGACCAACATCAGGCAGAGCATTTTGTTCTGGCCCTTCTGAAAGTGGACAAAGGGCCCTGTGGACTGCTGTGATATTTTAGCATTGGGTGCTGCCCTCCAGTGTTACAACAGAGACTTGCACATAAAGATTCCAACCTTCAGACTGTGTCAATTTCCATCAGTTTCCAAAGGAAGGAGACAAAACTATTCATATTTCCTAATGTCCTGTTTCTCATCCATAAATGTTGAATACATGTAGCTGAATGATTTACACATTCACTGAACAGTTGTCCCTCACAACTGTGACCACTTTCCAGACAGAAAAATTATCCACCCCTAGGCATTATCTTATCTGGTCTAAACAACAGTGGTGCAGAACAGAAAATGGATTAAATAAAGGAATATGCTTTACTCAAGTAAAGGCTGTCTGTTGTTCAAATTTTTGAAAAATTGTAAATTCCCAGTAAGACCTTTGCTGAGCATTAGGCTACATCATAAATACCCTGCCTTGCAGTTGCTTTCATAAAGGATTCCTGCCAGTTAGGTTTTGAAGTGTACAAAGACAACACTTTTTTGTCCCGTCACCTGAAGAATGAATTTTAATTCCAGTGTTTTCCAAAGCAATACACTTTTCTAGATCCAAGAGTTGTTTTGCAAATATGTGCACCCTGGTTTTTCTACTGGAAAAAAAAAACAACTACCTTCAATTTGACACATTTTGCAGACCTGATATCGAGTCATTTTGTCTTTCTGAAAACACTCCAAAAGACTGTTCAGTTCCAACTGAACTGAGTTCTCCATAGTTCATTTTGATCTTCAGAATTTTAAGAGTTTAAAAAACTGCTCCTTTGTCATTAAATAATGCTTAATAATAAATCATATAATTCTACATCAGACAAATTGCAGCCTCCTCCTTTTCTGTGAAGATGTAGCACCTGTCTTTTCTGTCTAGGGCTTTGATCACTCCATAAGATATTTGTTAGCATGGAATATACTATATATATACATTTAGAGGCGCCTCTATACAACCACAAATCAGAAAAAGCCACGATGGTATATAAAATCAAAATTAAAACTGAACCTAGTGATTTGTAAATCATCTCTGTCCTGTATTACATTGAAATCAATACAGCAGCACATTGTTTGGTGTTACACCTCATCAATTTTATTCTTTGTTCAAAATAAACACTCAAGCATTTACCACGTTGTGATGTTGCCGTTCCTTTTCACAACAGTTAAAAGATGTTTAGGGACTGAGGACACCAAATTATTAAATGTGTCAGGTGTCATTTTGTCCCATTCTTTCTTCAAACAAGTCTTAAGGTGCACAACAGTCGGTCTTTGTTGATGCAATTTGCATTTCAAAATCCACCACACATTCTCTATTGATGACAGGTTAGGACCGCAGGCAGTCCAGTCCAGCACTTGCACCCTTTTCCTCCACAGCCATGTCTTGGTAATGTGGCAGTATGAGGTTTTGCACTGTCTTGTTGAAATATCCATGTGCATCCCTGGAAAAGATGTCGTCTTGAAGGCACCATATGTTGCTCCAACATCTCTATATATTGTTCAGCATTAATGGAGCCATCACAGAAGTGTAAGTTACCTTTGCCAAGGGCACTGATACAATCCCAGACCATGACAGACCCTGGCTTTTGGACCCGTTGGCTGGATGATCATTTTCGTCTTTTGTCTGGAGCACATGGTGTCTATTCCTTCCAAAAAAAAGACCTGAAATACTGATTAATCTGACCACAGTACACGTTTCTGCTGTGTGATGGTCCACCCTAGATGCCTCCGAGCCCAGAGCAGTTGACTGCACTTCTGGACACCGTTGACATAGGGCTTCCTTTTGGCACAGTACAGTTTTAAGCAGCATATATAGATGTAATTACATATTGTAGTGCCTGACACAGGTGTGCCAGAGTAAACCTAAGCCCACGTTGCTTATAGAAGATTCTTGATGCAGTGCCATCTGAGGGATCAGAGAGGACAGTAATAAAGCTTAGGCTTATGCCCTTTACACACTGAAATCCCTTCAGGTTCCTTGAATCTTTTATTGATGTGACATATCCAAATCCCTTCCTATCTTTCTTGGAGGAACATTGTTTTTAAACATTTCAATCATTTTCTCACACATATGCTGGCAAAATGGTGGTCCTTGGCCCATCTTTGCTCCTAAAGGGCTCGGTCTTTCCTGGATGCTACTTTTGTGCCAAATCATGATTGTAATCACCTTTGACATCACCTAGTTCAAATGCAATATATATATATATATATTTATAGAACATTTTGTCATCTTTCCACATTTCTGTAGAAACAGTGAACAGTCATGGGACATAAGGTCTCACACTAAAGAACTGAAAGGGGACATGGGACCACATCAACTTTTACTGAATGTAGAAAATCTTCATTGAGGAGTTTCATGTTAATTGGGTTTACAGGGAGACATCCCACAGAATTTCCTTTAATAATTTAGAATTATGTCAACAGAAAAATCACAACACACAGTAGTATTGGCTGATCTGTGTTATCTGAACATGTAATATAAAGATTCCTCATAGATCAGTTCTCCAATCTTTGAAATTATCAGTCCTCTGTGACGGACATCTTCCTCTGGGTCAGCACCAGCTCCTTCACCTGATCTGTCAGAGCCATCAGCTGTGCACGGTCTCTACTGGCCTCCTCCTCTTGCTCCTCTGCCTTGCTGGCCTCACCCACGGCCTCCTCCTGCTTTCTGCCCTGACTCTGGCTCACCAGCTGCTTCACCACCAAGCTCTGGTAGGCAGACAGCAGCTGCTGCTGCTCCTGCAATAACACATGGGCGCATGCAAACATTTCAGCAGTTCAACTCGGCAAACAAACACTGTTACACTAACACTGCAGCAGATGGAGATTACAGACAGCTGCTGCGTCTGAAAACTGGATGTAAACACTGAAGATACAGCAGCTTGTTGCCACCAAGTGCTGAAATGTTTAGACCACGCTGAAGCACAAATAAACAAATCTATTAAGACTGCAATAAAGATTTACTATTGTAGGTTTTTATGGAATTACACACCTGACTAGATCAGAAATGGCCAGTTTAGCCAAAGCCACTATAAAGCTTCAGTCTGTTACAGCTCTTTTATAAATTCAGTATGAATACAATTCTGAGTTTCCACAGAAAGTGCTGTCTTGCTAAGGTACAGCAGAGGGATGTGTAACAGCATACTATAAAGGTTTGCTATTGAGAAAAGATGCTGTTAATAAAAGTACATTAGACATCTCGGTTAGAGATCCTCACTAGAAGGCCCAAGGACACAGTGGTGTTGTGTTACAGTACAGACAGTAGGAATCATCACAGTAACCACTGACTCCTTCAATACATACAGTCATGGCTGAAAATACTGGCATCCCTGCATGTCTGTCAGATAACATGTCTTTAAGATATAAGATGTCTTTTGTTTGCATTTGAACAACACAAAAAGCAGAGAAAAAGCTCAATCTGATCCATTCTACACAAAACTCCAAAAATGGACTGGACAGAATTATTGACACCTTTTTCAAAATCATCAGAAATAGCTGTTTTGATGTGATGCTCCTTTAATTTGTAATGAAACTCAACTGTAGCAATCAACAGGTGCTGGCAACATAGAAATCTCACTTGAAACGAGTTAAAATGGAGAAAAGTCGCCTCAGCCTTTGTCATGTGGACCACACTGAGCATGGAGAAAAGAAAGAAGAGCAAAGAATTGACTGAGAATGTGAGAACCACACTTGCACTGTCTTGTTGAAATATCCATGTGCATCCCTGGAAAAGATGTCGTCTTGAAGGCACCATATGTTGCTCCAACATCTCTATATATTGTTCAGCATTAATGGAGCCATCACAGAAGTGTAAGTTACCTTTGCCAAGGGCACTGATACAATCCCAGACCATGACAGACCCTGGCTTTTGGACCCGTTGGCTGGATGATCATTTTCGTCTTTTGTCTGGAGCACATGGTGTCTATTCCTTCCAAAAAAAAGACCTGAAATACTGATTAATCTGACCACAGTACACGTTTCTGCTGTGTGATGGTCCACCCTAGATGCCTCCGAGCCCAGAGCAGTTGACTGCACTTCTGGACACCGTTGACATAGGGCTTCCTTTTGGCACAGTACAGTTTTAAGCAGCATATATAGATGTAATTACATATTGTAGTGCCTGACACAGGTGTGCCAGAGTAAACCTAAGCCCACGTTGCTTATAGAAGATTCTTGATGCAGTGCCATCTGAGGGATCAGAGAGGACAGTAATAAAGCTTAGGCTTATGCCCTTTACACACTGAAATCCCTTCAGGTTCCTTGAATCTTTTATTGATGTGACATATCCAAATCCCTTCCTATCTTTCTTGGAGGAACATTGTTTTTAAACATTTCAATCATTTTCTCACACATATGCTGGCAAAATGGTGGTCCTTGGCCCATCTTTGCTCCTAAAGGGCTCGGTCTTTCCTGGATGCTACTTTTGTGCCAAATCATGATTGTAATCACCTTTGACATCACCTAGTTCAAATGCAATATATATATATATATATTTATAGAACATTTTGTCATCTTTCCACATTTCTGTAGAAACAGTGAACAGTCATGGGACATAAGGTCTCACACTAAAGAACTGAAAGGGGACATGGGACCACATCAACTTTTACTGAATGTAGAAAATCTTCATTGAGGAGTTTCATGTTAATTGGGTTTACAGGGAGACATCCCACAGAATTTCCTTTAATAATTTAGAATTATGTCAACAGAAAAATCACAACACACAGTAGTATTGGCTGATCTGTGTTATCTGAACATGTAATATAAAGATTCCTCATAGATCAGTTCTCCAATCTTTGAAATTATCAGTCCTCTGTGACGGACATCTTCCTCTGGGTCAGCACCAGCTCCTTCACCTGATCTGTCAGAGCCATCAGCTGTGCACGGTCTCTACTGGCCTCCTCCTCTTGCTCCTCTGCCTTGCTGGCCTCACCCACGGCCTCCTCCTGCTTTCTGCCCTGACTCTGGCTCACCAGCTGCTTCACCACCAAGCTCTGGTAGGCAGACAGCAGCTGCTGCTGCTCCTGCAATAACACATGGGCGCATGCAAACATTTCAGCAGTTCAACTCGGCAAACAAACACTGTTACACTAACACTGCAGCAGATGGAGATTACAGATAGCTGCTGCGTCTGAAAACTGGATGTAAACACTGAAGATACAGCAGCTTGTTGCCACCAAGTGCTGAAATGTTTAGACCACGCTGAAGCACAAATAAACAAATCTATTAAGACTGCAATAAAGATTTACTATTGTAGGTTTTTATGGAATTACACACCTGACTAGATCAGAAATGGCCAGTTTAGCCAAAGCCACTATAAAGCTTCAGTCTGTTACAGCTCTTTTATAAATTCAGTATGAATACAATTCTGAGTTTCCACAGAAAGTGCTGTCTTGCTAAGGTACAGCAGAGGGATGTGTAACAGCATACTATAAAGGTTTGCTATTGAGAAAAGATGCTGTTAATAAAAGTACATTAGACATCTCGGTTAGAGATCCTCACTAGAAGGCCCAAGGACACAGTGGTGTTGTGTTACAGTACAGACAGTAGGAATCATCACAGTAACCACTGACTCCTTCAATACATACAGTCATGGCTGAAAATACTGGCATCCCTGCATGTCTGTCAGATAACATGTCTTTAAGATATAAGATGTCTTTTGTTTGCATTTGAACAACACAAAAAGCAGAGAAAAAGCTCAATCTGATCCATTCTACACAAAACTCCAAAAATGGACTGGACAGAATTATTGACACCTTTTTCAAAATCATCAGAAATAGCTGTTTTGATGTGATGCTCCTTTAATTTGTAATGAAACTCAACTGTAGCAATCAACAGGTGCTGGCAACATAGAAATCTCACTTGAAACGAGTTAAAATGGAGAAAAGTCGCCTCAGCCTTTGTCATGTGGACCACACTGAGCATGGAGAAAAGAAAGAAGAGCAAAGAATTGACTGAGAATGTGAGAACCACACTAGTGGAAAAGCCTGGACAGTCTCAAGGCTCCAAGTCCATCTCCAGAGATCTGGCTGTTCCTGTGTCCACTGTGGGCAACACTGTCTAGACGTTTACAGCCCATAGTGCTGTAGCTAATCTCCCTGGATGAGGACGAAAGAGAAAAATAGATGACAGACCGCAAGGAAGGATTGTTCAAATGGTGGATAAAGAACCTTGATCATCTTCCAAACAAATTCAAATTCAAGTGTCAGCTCACACTGTCACCATCTGAATGACAAGGGACGCTTTGGTAGGAGACCCAGACCCCACTGCTGACACAGGAACATAAAAAAAACCAGAGTGGCGTTTGCTAAAACTTACCCGAGGAAGCCACAATCCCTCTGGAAGAATGTCCTGTGGACAGATGAGACTAAAATAGATCCTTTTGGTCGAGCACATCATTCTACTGTTTTCAGAAAACAATGAGGCCTTCAAAGAAAATGAACATGGTCCCTACAGGTAAACACAGTGGAGGTTCACTGATGTGTTGGGGTTGCTTTGCTTGGGGTTGCTCTGCTGCTTCAGGCCCTGGATGTCTTGGCTGTGTGTATGGCATTATGAAATTTGAAGACTACCAACAAATTCTGGGGCTCAATGTAGGGCCAGCATCAGAAAGTTGGGTCTTACAGCAGGACAATGACCCAAAGCAGACTTCAAACAGCACCAGAAATGGTTTCAGACAGTGAGCTGGAGAGTTCTGAAGTGGCCAGCAATGAGTCCAGATAGAGCTCCTGTGGAGAGATCTCAGAGCAGCAGCTGGGAGAAGGAACCCTTCCAATCTGAGACTGGAGCAGTTGGCAAAAGAAGAGTGGTCCAGAGTTCCAGTAGAGAGGTGGAAGAAACTCACTGATGGTTACAGGTATTTTATGCAAAGGGTGTTGCTCCAAAATCAAACAAAAGAAATAAACATGAGAATAACAAAGAATTTGTGATTGCAATGATTTTGTGAGAAAGGTGGTGCATTATCTGACAGAAATGTGGAGGTGCGAATATTTTTTGGCCATGACTGTATGTATTACATCCTCTAGTTTTTTAGCGCATTATAACCATTTATTATTTGAGGGTTGAGTGCAGTTGATCAATACCACTTAATCAATTGTAATTAACAGATCAACCCTGTTAAAGTAACCAGACATATCGGTTCTGTTGTTAAAGATAAAGGAGTTTGTTTTCCTGTTACTTCAATCAAGTTGACTTGAAAAATGACAAAATAAAATGTCATCTTTGGTTCTCATTAATGCTTTGATCATAATGTCAGTTTTGCTAGTGCTTTTTAAAAAAATGTACCCATTAAAACCAGTATGCTACAACCTCACACTGATATTACAGGTAGAGCTCTCACTCCCAGAGAGGCCAGTGAGCGGAAGGCATACCATACTAATCCGGCCTGTGAGCGTGCCGATGATTTGAGGCACGCAGCGACCTGGAGCATGCAGCATGCAGTGGGTGCAGGCCTGAAATAGCAGCACGCTGGTGAGGTGGAGGACCAGAGCTGGGTCCTCTGTCTCCTTCAGCTGCTCACTGAGAGCCTGGCGGTGCAGGAACAGGGCCTGTCTGCAGACAACACACACATGCATGCAGAAATCAGTGCTGAAGAAATAAAGTCAACCAGCAAATTGACAAACCAACATTTTCACTACCTCTCCTTTTTCTTGTCTCCCTTCTTCAGTATGAATCCACACACTTCAGCACAGTCCTCTATTTTGGTCAGAAAGTCTTCAATGGTCTGTGATGAACACAAGATGAACACTGTATTTAGATGTTATCCTTCATACTAAAGCCACCAGCTGAAGATGGAGCTGACAGGAAACATACTTTGCCATTTAGGCAGTTGTGCAGCTTCAGGAGAGGCCCTCTGGTCTCCTCAGACAGTTTGCTTAGAATCTTTACTCTGACCTGAGATAACACATCAGAAACAGTTAAGATGAACAAGTTTAAACTAACACATCCCACAGTGCATCTCCAATGACACAGTCCTAATGAACATGATTTAAATCTGAGCTCAGGCTCTCTGGCTGGTGAGGTCTCCCTGAAATACAGTAGATTACGGCTTCTTCATTTGAAACGCAGAGAGGGCATAAAGCAAAAGAAACACCAGGAGAGTTTTCTGACCTCAGCAGTGATGGAGCTCGGGTTCTCCACAGACATCATCAGATCAGTGGCCAGGAAGTTAACCAGGATGTTGGTGACATCCGTGCACACAGTCTTCAGGACGTGCTTGGCAATGTGGACCTGGGTTTCATCTGCAGGAGCATGTCCAGTACGTTAAACCTTGTGAACCCTGGGCTGTTTGCTCTTGGCTGTCTGAGCAATATATGGTGGTCGTAGATCACACTGTCAAAGCTCTAGAAATAGTCTGCATCAAATTCTGCCTAAAATTTAGGCCAAATTCTCACAGTGTGACTGTCTCCACAGCTAAACTGATATCACATGGTGACATAGCCTGCAACCAAGATGCCATTACTGCACTGTGACGTTACTGTTACTGTTACATTAAATGACTTGTCAGCGGTACTACTTGTTGCATACGTTTTACAATAGTTCATCCATGACACTGCTTCCTACTCCCCTTCTGTTGTTGTTCCAGCTTCTCTACCATGTGCTGTCAAAGTGCAGTCTGTAATTTAGCCCTACCTACTACCTAGCTATGGTTATAAGAAGCGTTTTTGTTTTGAATTAATATGCTTTAAATTTGGGAGTAACTGGAGCTCTGTGTAGTTAGTGGTTTGTGTCCCATTCATCAGTAAACAGAGTGTTGTACTGGACTGACTTCAGAATGGAGGCTGCATTTGTACGGTTTGTCACAACATGTATCTGTGATTTACATCACCGTTAGGAGACAGGATGTGATGGGTGAGTTTGTTTTGAGTCTCAGTAGACCCTCTAGCAGCTCAACAGAATTAAGGTAGAGTAGCTTATATAAAAATGACTACAACAGTAACAACAAAATGTAAGATCCCCTTTACTATTTTTCTGGAGCTTTCGGGTTCAGATCTCAGGTCTTCAGTTTGCTCTGGTGCTGTCAAAGTATGGATCTTAGGTCACAAGTGAACAGGTGACTGTACATGTACTTTATAGCAGTCCATAGCATTGATTTAGCCTTAATAAACATCAAAGCTAAGCTCTCCAAGTTCCACCGATAAGGCCATTATTACGTGTATGACGTGTGAGTTCTGGCTAAACTGAGTGACACTTGTGTAGGATCAGTAATGTTTGTCTATATGAAATGTGACTGATCAACTCAGGACTGAAATGCTGTTAGTAAAGCAGGTCTCTGTTTTCTTGACTTTTAAAAGTAAGGGCTGAATATTCATATTAAGCTGCTGATCATTGGTGATTTGTGATCTCCAATTTAGTAGTGAGAAGAGGATTACCAGAGAAGAACTTGGTGCCTTTTTCAAAGAGTCGGATGTTGTTGTACAGGTTGCTGATCTCCTCCTGCAGATCCTTCATGCTCTTCTTCTTGTTGGCCCCTGACAGAGAGCTGGTGGAGGACATGAAAACTGTCCGCAGCACCTCCTGATAGGCTTTATTCAGAGGCCTGTGCAGACATTAACAGTCAGCGAACAGGCTTGTTAATCTCAGTCTTCTTTAGAGAAGTTCTCAGAGAGAAAACTAACATTAGACAGAAACCTGTGTATTACCTGACTAAATGGTCTGCCAGCTCTGAGAGGACTTCTTCAGGGTAGTCGCTTAGTCTCTCCTCTAAAATAACTATGATCTCCTCCTGGGCCATAAAGGAGGCTTCAGTCTGTTTGCTCCGATCTTGGTAAAAGTAACATGAAAGCTAATTAGTCTCACAGGGATACTACAGTTACTTCTGTCTTCCATGATGTTAAAAAAAAGCTTAATAACCCAGGGAAGAGATTTCTAGCCAACCAGCCATTACACTCTTGTTACAGTAAAATGCCTCACTGAACAGGCTTAATGTGCATATAGAGACATCATGTCCCTGTGAAGATAAAAGAGCTTCCTGGCTCTCAGCATACTTTGCTGTGAAGGCCCGGTTTCCTCATCACTGTCCTCGTCTTTCCTGCCTTTCTTCTTGGTTTTACGAATCCGGATCTCCCTGGCGTTGCTTCCTCCGCCTGCTTTCACACTGCCACTGCCCTCTGAGACACAGACATTTAACAAATGAGCTATAATCCAAGAAAAATATCATTCAGGTACAGTCTCAGGAGTGGCACGGAGGCTTTACAAACCTGTGGCCTTTTTCCTGCGTTCAGCTTCTCTCTTCTCCTTTTTCGAAGGTGCTGAGCTCTCTGTCAGCATGGACGCTTGCTTCAGATCGTCTTCAGTTATCAGAAACACTGGATTGTTCTTGACTTCCTAAAAACCACATCACAAAAAAACATAGACTAGTAGCAAAATATGTTCTTAGCTGTGTACATTTAAAGAGTCTTCTGTGTGACAGACCTTCTGAGCTTTCTGCTGCATGGCCTCATCAAATAAAAGCAGACAGTTGCTGATGAACTTCTCACTGATGACGACTGTGCCTCCTAGCACTCTGGCAGCAGACTGGACGTTGGAGTTCCTCATAGCCTGGCTGATCAACATCCCGATGTCCTCTACAGACAGGCAGCTGGGCAGAATGGGCTAAATCACACGGGTAAAATGAGAGCAAGAAAGGTAGCAACCAATGTTTTTCATAAATAAGATAATAATGAAGACAATAACAGTTAACGTCAGTTAACACAGGCACACCTGTATGTCAGTCCACGTGGCAGAATTGACAGCCTCCTCCACCAAGGCCTCCACCTGGTCGACCAGAGCCTGACCCACACAGGCTGCTCTGAGGAACAGCAGCTTGTTGGACTTGAAGCGTTTCTTAATGTAACTGGGGGGGTCAGGGATCCCCAGTCTGACCAATGCATCAAACTCTGCAAGAGTAACATCAATTACATCTACACGTCTGTAGGCACTTCATGCTGCTACTGCGCAGCCGGATTTATAAGTGACACAAAGGTTGACATCTGTAGATTGTGGTTTACAGTCAGTGGTGGATATAATTCCTTTATTCTCTTTGTGATATGAAAGACTTGTTTCCTTACTGAATGTATGCTGTTGTATTTACACTGTCTGATTCACTGCGATACAGATGAAACAAAGCATTAGAGTACAGTGGAGACGGCTTTGTTAGATGTGTTACCAAAGAGAAGATAAGTGAACCTTGTGTCACCTTTCACGTTGTTTTCACTCTCAAAAGTCGGCACCATTAGAAACAATGTGCAACAAAAGCATAAACACAGAAAAACAAAGTAAAATAATGAGAATGTAAGATGCAGCTGTTCCAGGGTTTGTGTTGTATGCACAGTGTGTACAGTACGTGTGTAATGGCTGCTTTTTTTTCATTTTGTATTTTATGTTATGTTATGTCTGTGAATTGTATATTGTATTTACTGTCTGTGAAACTGCTGATTCCAAGACAAGTTTCCAACAGGGACATTAAAGCCTACTGTGTTCAAATGAAAATTAAATCAGAGATTTAAATATACTCACGAAAGAACATCCACATGCTCTCTGACATTATCCCTTGGAGTTGTCTTCTCAAGCTGTGAGTGTTATCAGTGTCGCTAAGTTGACACTTGACTTGTTGAAGTTTTATGAGAAAGCTTATCAGGACTCATAAAACTGTCAGCAGAAATACAGCAGTGATGGAACAGAACTGTGAGATCCCAAACAGTGTGAGTTTTCTTTACATTTCTAATAATTTTTATAGTTTGTGATTTTCTCATCACTTCCCTCTTCTGCTCATGTTCATATGGTGACATTTCACATGCATGTACAGCAGAAAGGGGAGGGTCAAAGAGGAGAAAAGGTAACGGGATGCAGCACAAATAAAGAACCTACCTAAATATCCATTCTGCTGGAGAAAAGAATCCACCCATGTATTCTGCGTTTTGGAGTATATATCCGGGATGTACACAGCTTTGTCCTGCCGCCCTCCTACCACGCTTCCTTTTAGGCGCCCATTATTCACCAACTCCTCCAAAACAGCTGGGAACAACAAAACCTACCTGATTAAAACACTGTACCAGTCAAACCGATACCAATCAAACATCAGCTCAGTCTCTCCTTACAATAGAGAAGATGTTCCTGAAATCCAAATGCTCCAATCATGCTGCTGACAGGTATTGGCCTACAGGACAAAGACAAAACAATACAATTAGTACAGACGGTGGGTCTGGTTTTGCATTCCTCTCCTATGCGTGTCCAAGTCAGACTAACCAAACTCTTCTAAACTGCACAAACCTGTCTAGTATCACTTGCTTCCACTTGGTGAATAATACCTCTTCACTAATTGCACATTTGTTAGATGTGTTGATTAGCAGAACCAGCATCCCCAAACTGGGACATAAGGCAACCTGTTCTGTTCTGTCTGTGTGCAAATGTGGGACATACATAAAAATTGAATGAATTGTTTTGAAAACTTCTTTTACCCCATATTCATCTGGTAACAGTACAAAGATATGATATATACTGTTGGGCTGTTCCCCAAGATCAGCAAGAACGCTGCACCCTAACCACTAGTCTATCAGGGTCCTCTACCATTTTCAATTCAATATGAGTTTTGAAAGATTTCTAAATAATTTCAATCAGTTTTTATTCTACAAATTTCAGTGTCCCAACTTTTTTTTGGAATTGGGGTTGTATTAATACAGCTCCCAGCGATATGCCATTAAAACAGTGCTGAACTGTGACACAAGTAAAGAGGGCGTGGTGATTTAAGTTCTACATAAAAGAAACTTGGTCACTGTGACAAGTTGCCTTAAGTCCCTCATATGCGCCAAGAGTTTGTTTGTAGGAGTGGGTTTTGCCTGAGTGTGTGAAATATCATAGCGATGTTTACCTTGTGATGGCACTGAAAAGCCCTCGTATTCTGGCTTTGTGTCGAGCAACAAAACCTGGAGTAAATATGATTCCCCTATTGTACTGGTCCATTTCCCCTTGGATAAGCTTCCCAAGACGCTTTGACAACTCCTGAGGGATGTTAGAAAGCATGTGTGCTATATTTTTAACAGTGGAGACAGCCAGCAACAAAATACAGAAAAAAGTTAATGTGATAAGAGAAATCAATTATCTAAATACAAAGACGACCCAATTTACTGCCTATTGTGCCATGAGATGTCTTCTGTGTTAAACACATGCTGGTAAAGACTAGTTGTAGTGTGACTCACCTCAGTTAAGAAATCTCCTGGGAGGTCGTAGCTTTTACACAGTTCTGCAACAGTTATCAGACCAGCCTGCTGCAGTTTGTCATTCACCTCCTCAGCTAAACGGTCCAGGTATGTGCTGCAGACAACATAGAGTTCTCACTTCAGTTACATTGAGCTGCTTCATTTCCTTCCAGACCTGACCATACCCCTCCCTCATAAGAATTCCTCTTCTCCCATGCAGAAATGAGGCTACACTATTTTGACCATTCATAAATTGTTGCACATTAAAAACCCTGATAATGTACTGCCCTCCTATTACTGCAGTTTTGCCAATATTTGTATTGATTCTACAATCAGTTCAAGGTCATTTGGGCTATGTTCATATTACAGGCCTTAATGCTCAATTCTGATCTTTTAGTCAGATCTGATATTTTTGTGCTGATGGTTCACATTCATGTAAAGTGACATGTATCCTCCTCTGATCTGAACACCGCTGATATTCTAAACTGCCACACATGTGCAGATTTAACTGAAAGATGAGCTGCATGCGAATAACAACAATAACATCATTTTTAAGATGGTCAAATTGCACAATTTCCTCCAAAATCCACTTCTCCACTGAGCCACTTCATCGTTATTGGCAATAAGCATGTGCATAGAGGAGTGATACAAGAAGAAAAAAAATTCAACAACATGAATTCTGATTTGACCATTCTGACAGCAGTAGTATGGTCAGAGATTGGATACGAATCAGATCTAGAAGCCCATATTGAACTGCCTGAAATCTGATTTGGGAAAATATGATTTGGTTTGTTCATAGCTTCGTGAAAGATCAGATCTGAGACACTCCAAACCTGATCTGAGACAATCCAAACACTCTGTTCAAATCCCCAGTGCGCATATGTTGGTCATGTGAAACATCTCAGCTGACACACAACACTCATAGGTTCAGAGGTTTGGTGACTTCATCAAGAAGCATTGTTGATATTAACTAATGACAACTGACAACTCGAATGGACTAACACCAATAAATATTTGATGCTGGGGAATAGGTCTTTGATTATCTATGTTCTTTAAAGGATACAACTATTGATTTCTTGTTTAATTTCTGTCCAAGAAAATTCAACTTTGCCATATCAGTGCTCATAATAGATCTGGTCAGTCTGGATTCCTCTGTTGTGGTCAGATAGATGGACTCTTGCACTAGTGAGGTAAAAGTGTCACTAATACTCACTCATCAATAAGCTGTCCCAGAACAAGCTGAACCCCTTTATCAGACTTTGCAATGTCACTTGCTCTGTTTTCAACATGGACCCAATCCACATTGATGATCTGGAAGGAAGAAGATCACAGTAGCATTTATAAGATGTTTCTACAATGGACTAATGATAACATGAATTCCGACTCTCACCTTGCTACTGGCACATATGGCAACACACAGGTGGCAAAACAATATTTCAACTTTTGAATACACACCTGCTGGAGCTCCACAATGTTGATTCGACCTGTGAAATAAATGATAGGATTTATTCACTGTTATCATGTCCAGTTCTAAATATACCACACCTGACCATGCTCCAGAAAAACAAATTGTTATATACAGTATTACTGAGATGGGTAACAGTGAGTAAGGTTACAGTTAATATAGCTCCCGCTTGTGACTCACATATTACATACACTATATTGCCAAAAGTATTCGCTTGCCTGCCTTCACATGCACATGAACTTGAGCAACAACAGATTCTTAATCCATAGGGTTTGATATGATGTTGGCCCACCCTTTGCAGCTATAACAGCTTCAACTCTTCTGGGAAGGCTGTCCACAAGGTTTAGGAGTGTGTTAATGGGAATTTTTGACCCTTCTTCCAGAAGCACATTTGTGAGGTCAGACACTGATGTTAGACGAGAAGGCCTGGATCACAGTCTCCGCTCTAATTCATCCCAAAGGTGTCCTATTGGGTTGAGGTCAGGACTTTGTGCAGGCCAGTCAAGTTCTTCCACTCCAAACTCACTCATCCATGTCTTTATGGACCTTGCTTTGTGCACTGGTGCACAGTCATGTTGGAACAGGAACGAGCCATCCCCAAACTGTTCCCACAAAGTTGGGAGTATGAAATTGGCCAAAATGTCTTGGCATGCTGAGGCATTAAGAGTTCCTTTCACTGGAACTATGGGGCCAAGCCCAGCTCTTGGAAAACACCCCCACATCATAATCCCCCTCCACCAAACTGTACACTTGGCACAATGCAGTCAGACAGGTACCGTTCTCCTGGCAACCGCCAAACCCAGACTCGTCCATGGGATTGCCAGACAGAGAAGCGTGATTCGTCACTCCAGAGAACACGTCTCCACTTCTCTAGAGTCCAGTGGCAGCGTGCTTTACACCACTGTATCCGATGCTTTGCATTGCACTTGGTGATGCAAGGCTTGGATGCAGCTGCTCGACCATGGAACCCCATTCCATGAAGCTCTCTACGCACTGTTCTTGAGCTAATCTGAAGGCCACATGATGTTTGGAGGTCTGTAGCTATTGACTCTGCAGAAAGTTGGTGACCTCTGTGCACTATGCGTCTCAGCATCTACTAACCCCGCTCTGTGATTTTACGTGGCCTACCGCTTCGTGGCTGAGTTGCTGTCGTTCTCAATCGCTTCCACTTCGTTATAATACCACTAACAGTTGACTGTGGAATATTTAGTAGCGAGGAAATTTCACAACTGGACTTATTGCACAGGTGGCATCCTATCATGGTACCATGCTGGAGTTCACTGAGCTCCTGAGAGCGACCCATTCTTTCACAAATGTTTGTAGAAGTGGTCTGTATGACTAGGTGCTTGATTATATATACCTGTAACCGTGGAAGTGGTTGGAACACCTGAATTCAATGATTTGGATGGGTGAGTGAATACCTTTGGCTATATAGTGTATATTCGAGTGTAAAAATACATGAGAGACACAAGGTGGCGCTACACTTACTATATTTCACATAAGGTATGCGAATGTTAGCCGATATGATGGAATAATAGCCCTTTTATTCGCCTACTCAGTAAATGACAGAACCATATCTGGAACCTACGCTGTTCAACTGACCTCCATGGACGTAGAGCTCATCTCGGATCTCCCTGCTAATCTGTGCTGAGGTGATATACTCCTTTCCATCAAGTGTGTGCACAACATCCAGCTTTTTTTCCTGAATGAGTTTTGCAATAATTTCAATGCAATTCCTCTCCGACAGCCTGTGGAAAAGTGAAAGGTTTACACATTGTATGTCATTCGGAGTGTTACACTACCAGCTATTAAAGTTCGATGCATGTTTTTAATTCTTATTGCAAATGACAGTTGCTAGATGAAAGGAGACAATTCACAACTTAAAGGGTTTGCGTTACTTTCAGACTAGCTAACGCTAAAGTTCGGCGTTATCTACCATTAACTCTGTTGCTAACAGCTGCTTGTAGCGTTAGGTGCTGTTACCTTTGTACTGCATCAGTAAACTGCGCTCTTTGGAAATCAGCGGCAAGCCGACGAATTTCTTCCCAGTCAGCCGCCATTATTATACGTTTACGCGTTTGCAAAAACAGTCAGCTGTCAATGCGTTCGTTAACTCTACACTATCAAGAAGTATCAGCTAGTTGGCTAGCAAGTCAGAAGCCATCTGTCTGTAGCCACACGTCAACATACAATGACGTACAACGGGAAGCCACAGAGACCAAAACTTCTTCCACTGAGTTGCACACGGTCTTATCAGTAGCTACTTTCTGCTATGACACATTTTACGCCTTATTCGAATATTATTTATGAAGTCCCAAGTCCTCTAACCAAAATCCACATGAATCACAGGACAGGTAGACTGTAGCTGGGGATCAGCAGTTAAGCTAAACATATATTTAATATGTCTGTGCAGATTCTCAGTCATCCAGGACATAGTAAACTGAAAAAACCTTAGAAATTTAGATTTCTAGATCGAAGACGTTTCACCTCTCATCCAAGAGGCGTCATCAGTTCTGAACTCATGAGAGGTGAAACGTCTTCGATCTAGAAATCTATATCCCGTTGATTTTTTTTTAAAGTTTTTTCAGTTCATATATTTAATAGGTTTAATAGGTGATAATAGGTGATATGTTGTTAGGTAGCCTACAAATGCTGTAAACGTTCAATGTGCCTTTAAAAAAAATCTAATCTCTTAACAGTTTACAAGAAATAATCCAAGTAGACAGAACCCATCAAGGAATCAATCAATGAATACAAATGATGGAATAAAATGAGGCTTAGATAAAAATGTGTGTGGTGTGTGTGTGTGTGTGTGTAGTCTAGCCTAGACATAGCCTACACACAAGGATAAGGGGCACATTTCCTTTTTTTATATTACGATTTTTACAGAAATGCTCAAATAATTAACAAAAATAACCTTTCACATGTGCATTTATTTATATACAAAATGCTCTCCACTGTCAGTAGGTATTAAGGGTGTAAAATTGGACAATGTGTTGTTTTACTACTCTTGCATACTGTCTCAGTTAGACTTGGTAACCTATATTCATTTAGTTATGACTTTCATCAGGTATGGACAAGAATCGTGATGGTTTCTGGAGGACCACAAAAATTAGGTCAGTTGGTTAATGAAACACCTTGAGAAAACACAATGTACACAGCCACCCAAGTTATTAAGAAATAAAAATCAAAAAATTTGACATATATTGGAAAAATACAAAATGTACAAGGGCATAGGTGTCAATATCAAACATATTTCTTAAATTAAACATTAACAACATTAACAACCTCAAACCAAAAGGGCAATGAAACAGAAACAAACTGAAAAGAAAGATTAGCCTTAATCATAAGGCTAATCTTAAGAGCATTAATAGTAAATATGGACATAATAATGCAAGCATAAAAAAAAACATGCAAGTCTGACCAAAGGGTTTTTGAATATCTATGTGCAGAAATCAACGTGAAATCATTATTAATCTATTCAGAACATTTTATATATTATATTGAATTATTATGTCAGAAAACCTACTCTTTATTTTTGTATTTTGAGAGAACCAACACAAACAGAAAAAATATTTTACCTTTTGTTTTCCAACTGTAAAGATGGAAAATTCCTGTCTCAAATAATCTCACTTTTGCTGTTTAGTGAAATATGATATCAAAAGTAATGGAAAAACAACAGTTGCAGTGCAAATCTGAACACTCTAGGGAGCAGTAGACTACAAGCCATTAAATTCTGTCCAGGGAAATTAACAGATGGCGTTTTATTGTATGAAGCACTCTATCATGCCAGCAAAGGCCTGGTAGGAGTACAACACTGTAATTATATGTCATGTGCATTTTCACTGCAGGTCTATATGTAATTAATTGCAAGTTAACTTTTAAAAAAGCACAATCTCAGTGACACAACTGTCCCTCTGTATCTGGCAAATATGAACCATATCTCACAGCCATGTACATGATGTGATGAGGAACTTCTTAAAATACCCTCTGCGTAACCAGCTTCTCTATCAGTATATAGTGTAGCTATAGCCTGGTCTGATGAAATACACACTTCTTATGAAAGTAAAGAAGAAACTAATCAGGTGCCTGAAGCTAAGTTTTAGAATCAGGAGAGAAGTTGTAAGTAGATTTGTTCAAACTTTAGGATATATTATATGATTCTCTCACCATATAATTTCTGCCTTCAAGCTTTGATTTAAATGACCGTTCAAGGTAAAATAAAATAATGAGATTAAAATACGGTATGGAAGGGGATTTGGCTGGTTTCAGAGCAGTGTGTGGGTGGGATGCACCTCCCGTGGAAACAGAAAATAGACCAGAGGAACGTCCTTGTTTGACCCATTTGAATTTTACATCATTTGCTAAAAAGCAAAAGAGTTTGCTGTAATGGAATTTCCTAAACAGATTTGAATGCGTTGGATCCAGTGTGGGGAACTAATGATGAAGCATCTCCTTCCAGAGCCCCAGTGCAGCCAACATATAGGTACTGTAGGCCTACATGAAGAAATTATGTAGACAGCTAATAATCATCATGATGCTGGTGTGCATAGAGGTTTATTCTGGCATGCAACATTATTTGTGGCTGTGTGGATCTATGAATCTGCCAGTACATTTTGTGTCAGTATAGTTAGAGTGAATGTTGAATAGAGATTTTTATGTTATTGTAGATTTAAAAGTGACAGCTACTGCTGAAAATAGGTCAAGTGTTTTTGGGGCTACACTAAAATTTGAGAAAACTATAGATAAATATCCTCATCATAATATAATGCCTCATTTATTTTAGCTCCTTTTGGATTTAGGAATACTGTGCACATGAATCAAAATTTATACACTGCTGCAGTTTTATGAAACTCAAACATGTCTGTGACTGAGAGACACTAGGTTGGTTTTTGCTTTGTTGCTGCTTTTAAGTTTAACAGCACATCATTCATAAGAATATCAAATAATTTGTGCATAAAATCTTAGGAACTGGTAAATACAACTGTCAAATAAATGTAGCTAGTGGTTAAGGTGCAGCACTCTCGCTGCTGCGCCTTAACCACTAGCCTACCAGGGACGAACAATTATGTGAATTAGCATACCATGGAAATTCCCTGTACAATGAAATTCTTACTTTGCCATCCACATGAGTGCTACATAAAACAAGTGAAATGTAAAGTGAAATATAAAGTAGATGAGCAATAACACATCTAAATAGGTAGCAAAATCACAAATCTAAGGCACTTTAAAGCAGCAAGTAAAGGAAGCAAATAAAAATACAACAACACAATATATTGCAGAGAGAATATATGCTATGTGGGAGCCGTGGAGTGCAAATACACAGCAATGAGTATGCAACTATGCCTGTGCAAAATGAGTATGTAAACAGTACAGATGGAATTACATGAGGTAGATCCTGACTCAGCTGTTTAGGAGTCTAATGGCAGAGGGAAAGAAAGAGTTTTTCAGTCTAGAGGTCCTGCATTTCACACTTCTGAGCCTCTGACCGGAGAGTAGGGAGGTGAACAGTCTGTGCTGGGGGTGGGTGGGGTCTTTGAGGATGGAGGCAGCTTTCCTGTGTTATTATATATGACATTAAAGCTAGGCTAATATACAGTAACATTAAGTATGCCACAGCAAAATAAGCTACTATATGAATATTTTAAAATCATAGCAGAAAGTACAAGCGTTGGGCCTTCTTGACCAGCTGTGTGGTGTTAAGTGTCCATGTGAGGTCCTCACTGATGTGGACGCCCAGGTATTTGAAGCTGCTCACCCTCTCCACTTCGAGCCCCCGGATGAACAGCGGCCGATGAGATCTCCTCTCCTTCCTCATGTCGACTATCATCTCCTTCGTCTTGTCTGTGTTGAGGCTGAGATTATTGCCCTTTCACCATGGCACCAGACCGGCCACCTCCCTCCTGTAGGCTGCTTCATCCCCACCAGTGATGCAACTTATCACTATGGTGTCGTCCGCGAACTTAAGGATGATGTTGTCTTTGTGGGAGGTGACACAGTCATGGGTGAACAGGGTGTAGAGGATGGGACTGAGGACACATCCCTGTGGGGTGCCAGTGTTTGTAATGATGCTGGCTGAAGTCTTGTTGCCAATCTCGATAGACATTTCATAATGATTGGAGTGAGTGCCACTGGCTTGTAGTCGATCTGGCAGGTGACCGGGCTCTTGTTGGGAATGGGGACGACGGTTGTGGTCTTAAAGCAGGGGGGAACGATGCTCTGGCTGAGGGAAAGGTTGAAGATGGAGGTGAGAACTTCAGCTAGTTCGTAGGCACATGCCCTGAGAGCCCTCCCAGGGATGTTGTCCGGTCCTGCCACTTTGTGGGGGTTGATCTTCCTCAGGGCTTTGCATACCTGGCCAGGGGAAAGGGGGTTGGGTGGTCTCAGTTTGTGTGTGCCTCCTCTCTGTGCTGTGGCTGGAGGTCTCAAAGCGGGTGTAGAAGGTGTTGAGGTCATCCGGCAGGCTGTCTGTGGAGCTGATGATGCTGGTGGTGGTCCTGTAGTCTGTGATGTGCTGCAGGCCTTGCCACATCCGTCCAGAGTCAGCAGTAGAATAGAAGCCATTCAGCTTCTCTCTGTACTGCCTCTTGGCCGCTGTGATGGCTTTCCTCAGTCTGTACTTCGTAGCTTTGTACCTCGTCTTATCGCCTGATCTGAATGCATGAGAGCGAGCACGCAGCATGTGGCGTACCTGACTGTTTATCCAGGGCTTCTGGTTGGGGAACCTCCTGACTTGTATGGTGGGCACAGTGTTGTCAATACAGGTACTAATGTACCCGGTCACATACTCAGCATAGTCCTGTACGCTGACAGAAAGGTCCTCCAAGGTGGCTGCAGCTTTAAACACATCCCAGTCTGTCTGGGCAAAACAGTCCTGCAGGGTGCCTTCAGTCTCTGGGGTCCAAATTTGTTTGGTGATAGGGTTTGTTTGTTTCAGTCTTTGTCTGTAAGCTGGATACAGGAACAAATAAATGTGGTCTGAGTGTCCAAAGTGGGGGCGTGGTTCAGCGTTGTATGTTACTGTAAATATGATCCAGTGTGTTCTTGTCCCGGGTGGGAATGTCCAGATGTTGGTAATATTTGGGGAATACAGTCCATAGATTGCACTGATTAAAGTTGCCTGTGGCAATAAATACAGCATTGGGGTGCGCTGTTTCTAGCGCGCCAGGTCTTGGTGAAAACGAGAGCGCAGCACTCTTTTATTTCCCGCTGTGTTGTAATCCTGGCTCTTAGCTCGTC